TAGGACTATAACAGTTCGCAGTTCAGTTCAGTTCAAACGAACTGTTCGAACAGTTCATCTGAACTGAACTGAACTGTTCAAACAGTTCAGCTCAGTTCAGTTCAGACGAACTGTTTTTAACAGTGCAGTTCAGTTAAGAGGAATTTTGAACAGCTCCTCTGAACTGAACCGAACTGTTTGAACAGTTCAGTTCAGTTCAAACGAACTGTTCGAACAGTTCTTTTGAACTGAACTATTTCCGAACTGTTATAGTCCTATTCGGTATTCTATTCGTTGAGGTGTCAAAAATAGATATCCAATAGTGTTAACACAAGACAATATAATGTCTTTCAGACATGAGCGATATGCTATATTCTTTCTAGAGAATGATCTCTTCTCGTTAATATTCCTGATAATGCCACAGAATAATTTATATAAAGTATAATAAAAGATATTCTAGAAGTAGGAAATGTTCTATTTAATAAGAGAAAAAGATTCTAGCCAAAAATATATTTTTTGATCATAAATTATTTTGAAACCGAGTAGATAAACATAGTTCTTGACTTGATTTCTACTATTTAAAGTCAAATATATTTGATAAAACTATATAGTCATTCTTCTACGAATTTTGTTATTAAATATATATAGTTATGAGCATCCCGATGTTTTTGAAGAAGAAACGTGACGGACTCTGCATAATCTGTAGAGGAGGTTTTTGACTATTATGAACAAATATTAACTTTTCACAAAGTTAAATAAAAATCAACTGTAAATTGACATCCTCAAGATAGGAAAATAATACAATAACGTACGCATATATGATAAGCTCATATATGTTCATAGAAAATATAGAACTATTTTGATGCCAAGAAAAAAGAGCATTAGAGGGAACTCTATTTTGTTTCTATAGAATAATCTTTCAGTATATAGATTATTCTGAGGAATTTCTAGCAAAAAAAAGAAAGAATGATCTATTCAAAAGAATTTTACTCGATACCCGAGAGAGAGAAAGATCTCCTTTTATTCTTATACGTTTTCTCTTCTAGTTAATATTCCTGCTAATGCTACATGGAAGCAGAACGGAGTGACTATTGGTGGAGGTAACGGGGAAGGGGGTGCCACTAATCAACTCTTCCGCCCTTATGGTCTCTTCGTTGATGATGATCAAACAGTGGTTATTGCTGACTTCGAGAATCATCGTATCATGCAATGGAAGAACAGTGATACAACGAATGGACAAGTTGTTGCTGGTGGTAAAGGCCAAGGAAATGGATTACATCAATTGAATCAGCCAACTGCTGTATTAATTGACAAAGAGACGGATAGTCTCATTATTTGTGATCAAACCAATCGACGAGTTGTACGATGGTCTCGTCGTAGTGGTACAACACAAGGTGAAATACTCATCGATAACATCAATTGTTTTGGATTAGCAATGGATAAACAGAGATATCTCTACGTTTCTGACGCAGGAAAACATGAAGTAAGACGATATCAATTGGGTGAGAAGAATTACACTCTCGTAGCTGGTGGTAATGGTACAGGTAATGGACTCAGCCAACTCAACATGCCGAGATATCTCTTTGTCGATCGAGATCATTCAGTGTACGTGTCAGACACCTTGAATAGTCGTGTAATGAAATGGAATAAAAGTGCAAAAGAAGGCATGGTGGTTGCTGGAGGACAAGGCCCAGGGAGTGCTCTTACACAATTGTTTGGCCCTGAAGGAATCTTCGTTGATACGTTGGGTACACTCTATGTAGCAGACTCGTCGAATCATCGTGTAATGCGTTGGTCTCAAGGAGACAAGAAACAAGGCACTGTAATTGTGGGTGGAAATGGCTATGGAGTAGGAGCAAATCAGTTCAACGTACCCTGGGGTTTGTCTTTCGATCGACATGGTAATCTCTATGTCGCCGATCGTGATAATCATCGTGTTCAACGATTTTCTATCGAATAAAACTTGTGAATTGTTTTTTCTTTGTTCGTTTCTTTTTCTATACTTTGAAATAAATGAACCAGGAAAAAGAAGTTTTCTTTTACTCTTTCACTTCAAAGAAAAGAAAAAAGCCAAAATATAAGATTACGTCATATGTTTCTTTTCTTCTTCTTTTATTTATTTGTTAAATGAAAAGAAATGAATTAAATAAAAGAATTTGTTTTCTTTCGCAAAAAATAAATTGCGCTTTTGAAAATATTTTATTCCTGAAATGAAAATTTGTGTTATTTAAATGAAAAAAAAATTATATTATTTTTACAAATTTTAGTAGTAAAATGAAAAAAACTATTGGTACAAAATTATTATTATTAGTAAAACAAAAATAATTTATTAGTAAAATAATAACAATTATTAGTAAAATAAAATAATTTATTGATAAAATAAAATTACTTACCAGTGAAATGAAAATAATTTATTGGTAAAATAAAAAATAATTTATTAGAAAAATAAAATAATTTATCAGCGAAATGAAACTATTTATTGGTAAAACGAAAATTATTTATTAGTGAATTCAAAATATATTATTAGTGAAATGAAAATATTTATTACTGAAACGAAAATTAATTTGGTTCCTTGAAAATATTTTATTCATGAAATGAAAATTTGT